GTTGGGGATGGGATGGGAAGGAAGAGGGGAAAAGGAGGAATGGAGAAGGGGGAGAGCTGGGGATGGAGCAGAGACGCAGTGGGGGCTGAGACAAGAGGATGGCGCCGCGCAGCACAGCGCCGACCCACAGCGCCGACCCACAGCGCCCCAAAGTGCTGCCCCCAGCACAAAGTGCTGCCCCCTCGCCAGCCCCACGTGTGGGGCAGATGGGGCAGGTCGGGGTCGTGGCCCCACAGGCAGAGGGTCGGACTGAACGTCGGCGGAGCCACAGTGTGCAAACATTGCAGCGCTGACAGACAGACAGACAGCAGGCAGAGCCTGACCCACGGCCTGACCCACAGCCCCACAGATGCACACTAAGGGCACAGCCTGACCCACAGCCCCACACATAGGGCCACCTCTGCTCTTCCCCGGCCCACAGCTGGGGATTTCCATGGGGGCAAACCGCTGCCCCACAGCAGGGCAGTGCCAGGGGGCTGGGGAGGCCCAGTCCCTGTGGGGCCATTGGAGGACTTTGTCCCCTCTGCGCTGCACTGCGGCCTTCGCCCCATAACTGCACCTGTGGGATGGGGGTGGGCACCCGGCCCTTATAGCACAGTGAGGGGCAGCGCGGGGCCCGCAGTGCTTATGGGGCAGGGGAGGGGGGGGCCCTAATTCCACAATGGGGGATTTGTGTGAGACCCAGAGCACCTGTGGGGCGGGGGAGGGGCAGATGGGGGGCGGCAAGGGGGGGAACCGGCCCTCATGGGGCAATGAGGGCTGTGTGGGGCCCATGGTGCCTATGGGGTGGGGGTGATTTTGGGGGGAGAGGAGGGGGAGGCATTCAGCCCTAATACCAAAATGAGGGGCCGTGTGGGGCCCGTGGGGCCTGTAGGGTGGGGGGCAGCATGGGGGGCACCCGGCCCTAATGTGGCAATGAGGGGCTGTGTGGGGCCTGTGGGGTGGGGGTGATTTTGGGATGAGGGGCTGCATGGGACCCACGGTGCCTATGGGGGAGGGGGGGGGCAGCCCTAATACTGCAGTGGGGTTTTTTGGGGGGGGAGGAGGGAGGAAAGGAAGGGATGCTGCCCCATGGGCAGCTGTGGGGTCAAACCTGGGAGAGCGCGGTGCTGCCGGATGGCAGAGCTGGGGGGGGGGGGGTCGTGTAGTTATGGGGGCGCTTATGGGGGCGCTTATGGGGGCGCTTATGGGGGCGCTTATGGGGGCGCTTATGGGGGCGCTTATGGGGGCGCTTATGGGGCCATGCAGTGGGGCCGGCCGGGACGCGCCACGTTCCTGAGCGATGACTGCAGCCCCACAGCTCTGCTGCCAGAGCCGCCATCCCACAGCGTCCCAGGGCCAAAGTCACACAGTGCCAAAGCCGGCCCAAAACAGCCCCCGTCCCAAAGCCGCCCCCGTCCCAAAGCCGCTTCCAGCACCGAAGTCACCGCCGCCGTCCCACAGCCGCCCGCTTCCAGGCCATCCGGTGCCGACGTCCCCCTGGTCCCCATCCCAAAACCGACCTCACACCAAACCCATCCTGACCCCAAACCCACCCCCGTCCCACTGCTGTCCCCATTTCAAATCCACCCCGACCCCAAATCCACCCCGACCCCAACACCCGACCCCCCCACCCCCACCCCAAAGCTGCCCCCATTCCCCCACCTCAAACCCACCCCAATCCCAAACCCAGCCTGACCCCAAACTCACCCTGATCCCACTGCTGTCCCCACTTCACCACCATCCCCATCCTCAACACATCCGGATCCCAAATCCACTCCAATCCCAAACCCACCCCGGTGCCAACGCTGCCCCCACCCCAATGCATCCATCCTGATCCAAACCCACCCAGACCCCAAACCCATCCCCACCCCACTGCCGTCCCCACCCCAACCCCATCCAGATCCCAAACTCTACTCTGATCCCAAAGCCACCCCCCCCCCCCCCAGCTGCTCACAAACCCCCATTTTAGGGCCTCCAATGGGGCAGGATTTCCTCCCCCCATATCTGTCCCCACACACAGCGCGCGGAGCCCCGGGGGGGGGTGCAGGATGGGGGGTGCAGGATGGGGGCCCCCCAACCCAGGCACAGCACAGCACCCACAGCGCGGTTATGGGGTGGGGCTGTGGGTTCCGGGGGGGGAAATGGGTGCCGTGCCCCACAAAGCGCCCTTTGTGCCCCCCCTCCTTTTATCCCTATGCAAAACAGCCTTTTTTTTGGGGGGGGGGGGGGGGGGAGGGGGGTCACACAGCCCCACAGGCGACACCAACCCCACAGATCAGTGGGGCGGCCCTACAGCTGCACAAACCCAAAGCTGTGGGGTGGGGGGGGGGACGGCCGCCCCCCAAACAACAAATAAACTCCGGGGGGGGGGGGGAGGGGGGGGGGAAGGAGGCGGCGTTTCCTCATTAGGGCCAGCGATGAGCTCTGCTGCCCCTTAATTGGGCTTTAATTGGCGCCCTAATTGGGTTTGGGGACGCAGGGCAGGAAGGCGGCGCTCCGCCCAGGAGGGATCTGCTGGGGGGCGGCCCTAAAACCCCCCAAAACCGCAGCGTGGGGACCCCAAGCAGTGCGCTATGGGGCACCCCAAGAAGCCTCAGCTATGGGGCACCAGGAGGGCACCGTGGGGACCCCAAAAATGGCCCTATAGGGTCTTCTGCACCACGGGGGACCCCAAGGATCGCACAGTGGGGACCCCCAGGAGGGCCCTATAGGGACCCCAAAAACTGCGCTATGGGGGGCCCTAAAAGTGCACTATAGGGGACCCCAAAAAACAGAGCTATGGGATCCCAAAAACTGAACGAAACGGACCCCAATAAATAACCTCTGGGGACCCCAAAAACTGCACCATGGGGGCCTCCAGGAGGGCACTATAAGGGACCCCAAAACCTGAGCTCTGGAGGTCCCAAAAACCGCACTACAGGGGACCCCAAAAACTGCACCATAGGGGGGCCCTAAAAGTGCCCTGTGTGGGACTCCAGGATGGCACCATAGGGGACCCCAAAAACTGCACCATGGGGCCCCAAAACTGCACTATAGGGGACCCCAAAAGCCCACTATGGGGGACTGCAGGAGGGCACCATAGGGGACCCCAAAACCTGAGCTATAGGGGAGCCCAGACCGGTGCCATGTCCCCCCCCCCAGCCCCACAGTTCCATGGGAAGCAGGGGATCTGGCCCCATAGCCGCCCCATAGCCGCCCCATAGCCGCCCCATAGCCGCCCCATAGCCGCCCCATAGCCGCCCCACACCCCATGCTCTGGTGGGGCCGATAGCGCAGCACAGGCGGCTGTGGGGCAGGAGATACGACAGGACACCGCCCCACACATCCTTACAGGACCTCTGCCCCATACATTTGGGGTCCCGTGTAGGATCGCCGCCCACAGTCTGCTATAGGGCCCCCATAGGATCTCCTCCGCCCCACAGATTTGGGGTTCCCCGTAGGATCGCCGCCCCACAGCTGCCCCCCGCGGGGGAGTTTTGGCGCAGCCCGCATTTCCCTTCTGAAACCACAACCACCAAACGCGGCCCCGAAACCGCGACCCCAAAACCCACAGAGCCGGAACTGCCCCACAGGAACCCGGGCGCCATGGGGCGGACAGATATGGGGTTTGCATGGGGCAGCTCAGCCCCACATCATGGGGAGAGGACACTGGGGTCTATGGGGTGGACATGGGATTTTCATGGGGCAGCTCAGCCCCACATTGTCAGGATCTATAGGGAGAGGACACTAAGATCTATGGGGCAGATATGGGGTCTGCATGGGGCAGCTCAGCCCCACATCATTGGGACCCATGGGGAGAGGACACTGGGGTCTATGGGGTGGATAGGGGATTTTCATGGGGCAGCTCAGCCCCACATTGTCGGGATCTATGGGGAAGGGACATTAGGACCTATGGGGCAGATGTGGGGTTCTCACGGGGCAGCGGAAGGTTGGCCCCATAGAATCAGTGGGGCTCCGCGCCCCACGGGCCCCACAGGCGCGCAGCGGGGTCGGGACGTGGCAGAGGGGCCGCGGTGTGGGGCGGAGCGGCGCAGAGCAGAGCAGTGTGGGACGGGACGGGGGGGGACGGGGGGGGGAGCTCCCTGCCCCACTGCGCGGACCTGTGGGGCCAGGAGTGCCGGACCCCAGAGAGCGGCCCTATGGGTCCCGGCCCCACAGCGATGCCGTGCCCCACAGGGTGACCCCACGGCCTTTAGGAGATCCACCCCACAGATCCCAAATGCCGGCGCCTTCAGGTGCCCGACGCTGTGGGCCGGGGAGCCAACGCCCTGCAGTGGGCCTCTATGGGTCCCGGCCCCATTGGGAACCCAGCACCCCACAGCCTGCCCCATGGGTCCCAGCCACCCCGGAACCCAACACCCTATGGCCTGTCCTATGGGTCCCAGCCTCACTGGGAACCCAACTCCCCATGGCGCACCCTATGGGTCCTGACCCTCCAGAACCCAGCGCCCCACAGCCCGCCCTATGGGTCCCACAGCCCCCATAACCCAACTCCATCCATGCTGCCCCACACATTCAGACTCCCAATGCCGCAGTGTCGGAACCCAACGCCCCCCACACCCCACACAGACCCCACACCCCTCATAAACCCCACAGCCCCCCTACCCCCCCAGCCCCCTATGCTCCTCATACACCCCGCAGCCCCCCATAAACCCCACAACCAGCTACACTCCCCCTAGGCAGCCTTGTACCCCCATGCACCCCACAGCCCCTTGGACCCCCCCGATTCTCCTCAGACCCCACAGCCCCCCATACTGCCCCTATACTCCCCTTCAGAGCCCCCCTACCCCCCCACAGACTCCATGCCCCCCCACACCCCCATCTGCCCCACAGCCCCCCCACCCCTCGCAGTCCCCCATGCCCCCCACAGTCCCTTGGACCCCCTACTCTCCTCGGGCCCCACATCCCCCTGCCCCCCCCCTGCCCCCCACATTCCCCCTATACTCCCCTACAGCCCCCTACCTTCCCAGACTCCATGCCCCCCTGCCCCCCATCCACCCCGCAGCCCCCCGACCCACCTGGCCTTCAGCTCCTTGTGCTCCTCCCTCACTTTGCTCAGCTCCAGCTGCAGCCTCGCCCGCTCCTTCGCCACCGAGTCCAGCGTCTTCCTCGCGTCCGCCAGCTCGGCTTCGTAGGCGGCTTTGATTCCCGACACCTCCCGGCTCACCACCTCCTCGGACTCGGTGATCCGCAGCCTCAGCCCGGCGTTCTCCAGCTCCAAGGATCGCACTTTGTCGATGTAAACGGCCAGGCGGTCGTTGAGCTCTTGGAGGTCCTCCTTCTCCTGCAGCCGAGTGATGCGGGTCGGGGACAGGGGGGTCCCCGAAGTGCCGCCGCTCCGGCCGCTCCTCCGTTGGGACGGGGTGGACATGGCGGCTGCGGGGGGCGGCGAGGAGCCGGGGGGTCGAAACGGAGCGAAAATAAGAGGCGGGGGTCCGGAGGCGGCACCGGCGGCGGAGGGCAAAGGAGAGGCGGCGGGGGTCGGCAGGCGGAGCGGGGCGGAACGGCGGGGGGCTCCGGGTCGGGGGGCAGAGGGCGGCCGAAGGGGGGGCGGCGGAGCTGCCGGGGGGCGGCGGGGCGCAGGAGGAGGGCGGGGGGCGCACGGAGCAGCGCTGGATCCCGCGGGGGCTCCAACCCGAACGCCGGCGGAGCGCGGCGCCGCGGAGCTGCTGCTCTTATAGCGGGGGGGGCGGGGAATCCCAGCCCCGGGGGGGCGGGAAGGCGCTGCGTCACCGCGTGGGGCCGCGCGGAGGGGGGGCGGCGGGGCGGGCGGCGGCGCTGAGCCCCATAAGTTGTGGGGCGGGACGGGAGCCGGGGAACCCCGGGGGGCCGCAGTGAAAGCCGGAGCTGTGGGGCGAAAGGTCCCCGTGGAAGCCCAAAAGTGGGGGGCAGGAGGTGCCCATAAACCCGAGGCAAACCCCATAAGTGTGGGGCAGGAGGATCCCAGGTGACACCCATGAACACATAGGGAACCCCACACGTGTGGGGCAGCAGCTGTGCAAGTGACCCATAAACCCACGGCAAACCCCATAAGTGTGGAGTGAAAGACCCCAGGTGACCCCCATCACCCCATAGGGAAACCCAGAAGTGTGGGGCAGCAGCTCTGCAAGTGAACCCATGAACCCACGGCAAACCCCATAAGTGTGGGGCAGCAACTCCTCAAGAGACCCCACTGACCCCAGAGTGAAACCCCACAGATGTGGGGCAGAAGTTCTCCAATTGACCCCAATATCCTGCCCAGTATCCCCCAATGCCTCCCAGTACCCCCCGACCCCCCCAGTGCCCCCCAGTCCCCCCCCGGCCCCCTTTGAAGCCCCCCCCCATTCCGGGCCGCTTCCTGGCTGCCGGCTGGGCGGAGCGGGGTTCCCCCCTTGGCTGCAGACCCGCCCCCCCCCCCCCCCAAACCCCACCCAACCCCCCCCCTTCGACCCCCCCCCCCGGTGACTCACGGCGGCTCCGCGGCAACGCGACCCAAACAGCGCCGCGCCCCACGAGCCCGCGGGGGGGGGCGGCTCCGGAGGCCGCCGTGAGTCAGAGCTCCCTATGGGGAGGGGGGGGAAAGGGGGAATTGGGGGGAAGGGGGGAGGGGGGGGGGGAAGGGGAGGAAAGGGAGGGAATTGGGGGAATTGGGGGGAAGTGGGGAAGGGGGGAGGGGGGGAAAGGGGTCCGAGCTTGGAAAGTGAACGGCAGGGCTCAGTGAGGGGGGGGGAGGGGGAAAGATGTGGGGGGGGATGGGGGGGGGGGTGGGGGGTCAAATATGGGGTGGGATGTGGGGTGGTTGGGGTGGGACATTAATGACCCTGACCCCGTAACCCCAGCCCTGACCCTGTGAAACTGACCCTGACCCTATAACTCCAACTCTGACCCTATAACCCTAATCCTAATCCTAACCTTAACCCTATAACCCTAACCTTGACCCTAACCCTGTAACCCTGATCCCATAACCCTGAGCTTGACCCTGACTTTGATCCTATAACTCTAACCTTAACCTTAACCCTCACCCTATAACTCCAATCCTAACCCTGACCCTATAACCCTAATCCTAGCCTTGACCCTCACCCTAACCCTATAACCCCAACTCTGACCCTGACTCTGACCCTATAACCCCAGCCCAAACCCCAACTCTAACCCTGACCCCAACCCCAACCAACCCTGATCCTAACTCTGACCCCATAACCCCAACCCTCACCCTGTGACCCTGACCCTAACCTGACCCTGATACAGATCCGAACCCCAAGCAGCCTCGACCCTATAACTCTAATCCAAACCGTATCCCTGTCCCTATAACTCTAACCCCACAACTCTGACCCTATAAATCAACCCCAACCCCAACCCTATACCCAACACCAATCCTAAACTGAATGCTGACCCTGATACCTGAACTCTGACCCCAACCCCAACCCTGACCCCATAACTCTAAACTCTGACCCTATAACTCCAATCCTGACCCCATAACCCAACCCTGACCCTGAGTTTTCTCAGTGGCTTTGGGGTCTTTAGGGTGGCTTTCTTGAAGGGTTTTGTGCCTATCAGACTTTTCCCAATGGGTTTTGGGCGCTATGGGATTTTTCTCAGCGGTTTTGGGGTCTGTAGGAGGTTTTTTTTTCAATTTTGGGTCTATTTGGGCTTCTCTGTGGGTTTGGGGTCCAGGGGAATTTTCTCAATGGGGTTTTGAGCCCTACGGGGTTTTCTCAATGGGGTTTGGGAATGCAGGAATTTTCTCAATGGGTCTCAGGTTTTTTTTCAATGGGGTTTTGGGTCCATAGTTTTCCTATGGGGTTTTGGGCCCCTATGGGGTTTTCTCAGTGGGTTTTGCGTCCATAGGGGTTTTCTCAATGGGGTTTGGGACCCTATGGGATTTTTTTCCGTGGGGTTTTGGGGCCCTATGGGGTTTTCTCAACAGCTTTTGGGTCCTCAGGATTTTTCGCACTGGTTTTGGGTGCTGTGCGAGTTTCCTTAACGCAGTTTGGGTCAGGAGGATTTTTCCCAACAGGATTCGGGTCTACAGAAGTTCTTCAATGAGTTTTGAGTCTATGGGAACTTCCCGGATGTTTTCTGCCCCATAGGAGGTTTCCCAATGGGGTTCTGGGTCCGTGGGATTTTTCCCAATGGGTTTCGGGCCCTATGAGGTTTTCCCCACGGCTTTTGGGTCTGCAGTTCTCCCTATGGGTTCCGGCTCCACAGGCGTTTTCCCAATGGGGTTTCGGCTCCACAGGAGTTTTTTCAGCGGGATTTTGGAGCCCTGTAAGTTTTTCTCCACGGCTTTTGGCCCCACGGCGTTTTCCCAATGGGTTCTGGGTCCACAGCAGCTTTCCGGCGGCCTTTTGGGGCCGTACGGGAGTTTTCTGCACGGCTTTCGGCCGCCGGCGGCTTCGTGCAGCGCCCGAGGAGCCGCGCAGCGCAACTCGGCTTCAGGGCCGCCGGACCCAGCTCGATCCGCCGCTCCGCCGCTCCGCTGTTTGTTTGCGCGTTGCTCGGAGCTCCGCTCCTCTGCGGTTTCCCGTCCCCCGAAGCGGATATTTTGGGACCGTTATTACAATTCTTTCGGGTTTTTTAATTTTTCCTGTTGTTATTGGGGAGATCCCGACCTCCGGCCGGCGCTGACGCGGAGCTGACGGCAGCGCTACGAACGGGGATGGGAAGGAGGGGAAACGAGGGGCGGGGGAACGGGGGGCGGCGCGGCGGAGGGAAGCGGCAGCGGCACCGCGTGGCCATCGAGAGCCGGGCGGGATGCGGGATGGGATGCGGGATGGGATGAGGGATGGGATGCGGGATGGGATGCGGGATGGGATGAGGGATGGGATGAGGGATGGGATGCGGGATGGGATGCGGGATGGGATGAGGGATGGGATGCGGGATGGGATGCGGGATGGGATGCGGGACGGGATGCGGGATGGGATGAGGGATGGGATGCGGGACGGGATGCGGGATGGGATGCGGGATGGGATGAGGGATGGGATGCGGGATGGGATGCGGGATGGGATGAGGGATGGGATGCGGGATGGGATGCGGGATGGGATGCGGGACGGGATGAGGGATGGGATGCGGGATGGGATGCGGGATGGGATGCGGGATGGGATGCGGGATGGGATGAGGGATGGGATGCGGGATGGGATGAGGGATGGGATGAGGGATGGGATGCGGGATGGGATGAGGGATGGGATGCGGGATGGGATGCGGGATGGGATGAGGGATGGGATGCGGGATGGGATGCGGGATGGGATGTGGGATGGGATGCGGGATGGGATGAGGGATGGGATGCGGGATGGGATGCGGGATGGGATGAGGGATGGGATGAGGGATGGGATGCGGGATGGGGGATGCGGGATGGGATGCGGGATGGGATGAGGGATGGGATGAGGGATGGGATGCGGTATGGGGGATGCGGGACGGAATGCGGGATGGGATGCGGGATGGGATGAGGGATGGGATGCGGGATGGGATGCGGGATGGGATGTGGGATGGGATGCGGGATGGGATGAGGGATGGGATGTGGGATGGTATGCGGGATGGGATGCAGGACGAGATGCGGGACGGGATGAGGGATGGGATGAGGGATGGGATGAGGGATGGGATGAGGGATGGGATGCGGGATGGGATGAGGGATGGGATGAGGGATGGGATGAGGGATGGGATGCGGGATGGGATGAGGGATGGGATGCGGGATGGGATGAGGGATGGGATGAGGGATGGGATGAGGGATGGGATGAGGGATGGGATGAGGGATGGGATGCGGGACGGGATGCAGGACGGGATGCGGGATGGGATGAGGGATGGGATGCGGGATGGGATGAGGGATGGGATGAGGGACGGGATGAGGGATGGGATGCGGGATGGGATGAGGGATGGGATGCGGGATGGGATGAGGGATGGGATGAGGGATGGGATGAGGGACGGGATGAGGGATGGGATGAGGGATGAGATGAGGGATGGGATGCGGGATGGGATGAGGGATGGGATGAGGGATGGGATGAGGGATGGGATGAGGGACGGGATGCGGGATGGGATGCGGGACGGGATGCGGGATGGGATGAGGGATGGGATGAGGGATGGGATGCGGGATGGGATGCGGGATGGGATGCGGGATGGGATGAGAGATGGGATGCGGGATGGGATGAGGGATGGGATGAGGGACGGGATGAGGGATGGGATGAGGGATGGGATTTTGGATGGGATGCGGGACGGGATGCGGAATGGGATGCGGGATGGGATGAGGGATGGGATGCGGGATGGGATGTGGGATAGGATGAGGGATGGGATTTTGGATGGGATGCGGGATGGGATGAGGGATGGGATGTGGGAAGGGATGAGGGATGGGATGTGGGAAGGGATGAGGGATGGGATGAGGGATGGGATGCGGGATGGGATGCGGGATGGGATGCGGGATGGGATGCGGGACGGGATGCGGGATGGGATGAGGGATGGGATGTGGGATGGGATGAGGGATGGGATGTGGGATGGGATGCGGGATGGGATGCGGGATGGGATGTGGGATGGGATGCGGGATGGGATGAGGGGCAGGATGCGGAATGGGATTCGG